AAGAAAATGGACCTTCTTCATCATCCATCGGATGGAAATTACATTACAATAAACTTATTATTCTGATGCATCATCAAATTACAGTTTCCATTTTCCCATTGGGCATACTCAGACATAGATACAATCACCAAAACCTGCAACATATACAAGAATAAGCACACTTTGTTTGCTAAATTCATGTTAAGAAAACATAAGATTTTGCAGTGCATCATATCAAACAAATTGGCTTACTTGGATTAGTGACGACTATAAGGCCAACGCCATTGAAATCACAATTGTAGCGTCCATCAGTCTTATAGTAAAGATTCATGGCAAATGAGGCATGGTTTATGAGGGTATTTGGAAAGTAGCATGAACCATGTTCTTGTATTTCACGGCATTCTTTTAATATTCCACAAGTGAAGTTTATGATGTTCTGTAATGCAGAGTCTGGGGTTCCTGGCTTAGGCACACACCAAGTATCCTGCAAACCCAACACAGCATAATAGTAATTAATTAAGTTTAATTAAGCATTTGAAATGATTTTGATATAATTAAGATGATTTGATATCTTGGTTTAAATTATACTGTTTGGACTTGAGTTACCTCCTTTTCTTGTGGCAGTGGAGGTCCTGATCCTCCTACAGATTTCAAAAGGGAAAGTGAAAGTAAAGTTATACAATTATTTTTGCATATGAAAATGTGCAAAACTCATTATAGTTATAGACACATACCACTCACAAATTGGCAGCAGGGATTGTAACCTGCAAAAATGGTATAGAACCAAAATGTTTAATTTGCTGAAAAAGAAAGTCTGAACTTTTGAAACAAATTATTATTTTGAAATTGAAGGCCTACTTGGATCTGCCAAGGAAATGAGACTGGTATTGTTAAAATGACAGTTCCATTGGTTTCTTCCCATCTTCTGGTAGTAAGCATTCATGGCAAATGAGGCATGGTGCGCTGGCCTATCCGGGTCATAGCAAGAACCTCCTTTCTTTGTAGGGCTGCAATCTGCATAGTTACAGGCATAGTCCAGAGCTGACTGCAGTGCTTGTTGTGGTGCTGCAGGCTTTGCCACACACCAAGCTTTCTACAACACCATGTATATATGTAAATTAATTGCTAATTAATTTAAGAATTGTTCTTTTTAATTCTTACCTGTCCATTCACCAACATCAAAATCTCCCCTGAAAAAAAAGAAAAAAAAAAGCCATGGATGAACATAGGTGAAAATGTAGAGAGAGAGCAGAAAAGGGGGAAAGAAATTA